TTTGAAAAGTTTGAAGTGTATATCGGTTCTTAGTTGCACTTTTTTGATAGCTTTCCTGATAATGTCGTTGTGATAGCATCCAATACTCAGACAGACCTTAAGTCCCTTTTTATTTTGTCATGTTCGACTTTTCAAGTAAAAAATGACAAACTTTGATTCATTATTTTAACTAATATATTTATTTGAAGTTTAAAAAATTTATACTTCTGTGATACTAATTACGAAGTATAACAAAAAATATTTTCACATCATTTTCGTATTATCAATATATATTACCGTGTATAAATATATAATCGGTCAAATTAAAGTTTGATATCTTTCACTTGAGAAATAAAATTTGGCTAAATGAGAAGAGACGGTCGGAGTATGTTCTATGAGATATACAATTGAAATTTCATTGTTACCAAATATGCTCTAAATAATTCAGAACATATTAATGTTCATCCATCGATATAATAATACAATTCGAAACATAATGTAACATCGAAAAGGATGACATTCATCCCTGAGTGACCTTCAGGACTCACGGCCCCAAAGTCATCTAGATCATCAGTAGATAATTTGGCCCTGAAAGTCTGAAAATATTCACATTCGATATGATCATTGTGCATAGGTAATGTAGACAAACAAGCAGCAAACGATCATGCTCAACAACACGTACTTTATTTAAGCTTCGTGGAGGGTCAAGGGTGGGATTAATAATATATACTTGTACTACGTATATTATTAGTGAAAAATGTTTGAGCACTATACTTTAATTAGCGTTGATGATTAACGCTGAAAAAAAGGGTCCGTTGTCCGGTGATGGATTTCTAGCTATGGTGGACTAATTCCATGCATGAACCGTTCTAGCCGCAGGAAATTAAATTAAAGCATAGCCTTAGCCTTTTGAATTTTTATGCATCGTCCAAATTAAATTTATTACATGCATATTTAATTGAATTGCCAGCTGTATGTTGCGAGGGACCTGATGATTGATGGCTATGGCTATCCGCATGCATGCCTGAGGAGGACGAAGAAGCCAATTAGCCAAGTTTCATTATTGTCCGTACGACCAGTATAATAATAATTTTATAATTTCAATGCATCGGGTATTATATGGTCTTTTTTTAAGGATCTATATTCCTAATCTGTAATGAACAAGCCTTCAATTATTGTTGAAGTATTATTACTCCGGGTAGCTTTAGTATCTCGAGATACTCCCAATAAACTCCTTATTCACATTTTTTCATGGAACGCATGTAAGATGGTATTAGAACTATATCGATCGATAGTTATAGTAGGTGGTTTATGAAAATTAAAAAAAATCATCATTTTGATGAAGGGGTAAAAAAACTATATATACAATAATTATAAACAATTAAGGAAACTACCACTCTTCCCAAAACTTGTAGACATGTAGATTGAAAAATAGAGTTAAGAAAAAGCTAAAGAAGTAAATCTAGCAATATACTCCCTCTGTCCCCGAAAGAAGTTCCTACTTTCCTTATTTGGATGTCCCTAATTTAATTTCTCATTTCTTTAAATGGAAAGTTATCTACATCAAAACAGTGACAAACAGTGCAAAACAGTGCCAAACAGTATCGAAACAGTGTCAAAACAGTAAAATTTACCCCCTGGTAAGTTTACTTGCATAAAAGTGTGTGAAAGTCAAATGGGGAACTTCCTTCGGGGACGGAGGGAGTATCAGAAAGAAAATATGTTACGGTTAAGACCTAAGGTTCCATCCTAAAAGGTCAACTCTCCTTGGTACCATTCTCATTGACCATCCATTGTCAATCATCATCTGACCTACTCGAAAGCCGTGCAACTCTCCTCGTCTCGCGCTCTTAGCAAATCCATCGCTAGTGGTCGTCTTCATCGCTGTCATGCCCTTGCTACCTAAACTCATTCTTCCTCCCAAAAAACGAGAACCAATCGGATCGCCTATTGCTTGGGATCAAAACAAAAGGAAACGCCATAGCAGACCAACGTTCGACAGCAACCGAGCGCTAATCCTAGCGACGTAATCCAAACAGAAACACACAGATCGAACAAAAGCGGCCGGAACCCACGATCGGAATTGATCGCCTTCGGAGAAAAAGGCTCTAGCAGCTACGAAGCCCTAGAGAAAAAGGCGGCAAAGATATATATTCATAGTCTTGGTATCCAATAATGTTGACAGTGATTGAGTTTGTTTGACAAAATACCTGAAAGGTTAGCACAGAAAAACCTACGAAAAAACTAAAAACAAATCACTGAAATTAATTAATCCTTAAAACTGTCACCATCCTCAGCAACGACGCAAAAAAATGATGTGAGTTTTCCGCACTAAAAATATTGTAGCAGTATAGGGTGTAAGTACGAGTATCGTCTCCACAGAGACGGAAAAAGGGAGTTAAGAATTAAATAAATTCAGCAATTAAAATAATTAAAATAAATGCGATATGTGAGATTGATTGTTGGAAAATTAAAATGCGAATAAAACGATTAAACTAAAGGGTTCTTTCTAATTAATGACGAAGGGAATATAGATTGATTCCGGAGTAACCAAATTTCTGGCTAATCTGGATTAATCACATGAAAATTATTAAAGGAGCAACGCTAATCAATACTAAGTTCTAACCTCTCTCGCGGCGTAGAGTACAATAATTTAGGGGGCAGACTGATCTCTCATGCGACATGATCCTAAATTATTGCCAAAATGAGCGAGCGTAAAACCCCTTAATTGCTACTAATCTCTTAGCGAACGATTAAGTGTGTGTGAAGGTGTCATACAATAAATTAGATCTCTCTTAATTCATTCTACAAACAATTATAATCCTAGTGGCCATTCTAGGACTCATGCATAAAGACTCATGCAATTAATCCATCAAGAAACTAGCCATACATCATGACCAACCCCTTCATCAATCCAAAATTCCTAATTAAAACTACCTGCTATTCATAATTGAATAAACAATAAAATTGAGATGAAAAGAATTAATTGTCATTAATTAAGAAGATGAAACTTACAAATAATCCCATGGTCTTGAAGAACAATGCAGAAAAATACGTAAAATTTCGTCTCTAGGCCTCTCGCTAAGCTCCGTAACCCCAAAACGGGGATATGGAGGCCTTATTTATAGAAAACAGCTAAATTCGGGCTGAACTGGGACTGCAGAGGGAACGCACGGCCGTGCATGGGTGGCAATGGGTTCTCCTTGATTTCACCTCGGACGCACGACGTGCGTTCCCCCACGCACAGAGTGCATGAAACTTCCAAATTTGACGATGCTTCCTTAACCAAAGGTGTAGCTAATGAAGTCGTCCATCTAACACAACTTGCCAAACTGGATTTGGATCATCCAATCAAAAGATATGAACAAAATGGTGGAAGGTCGCATGCATCCTAAAATCTCAACATCGATCATCTGACCTCTTCGTCTGTTTTCCCCTTGCTCCTCTCATATTCTCGCAATGGTGTCTTTATAGGATTTGTAGCCCTTGACATTATCTTTCATATGGAACTTGAATCGTGTACGTTGGATGTTTCTACAAAAAACTATGCTTGAATGATTGACAAAATTGAACATCATCCTCATCGCTGTTTTCAAGCTTTATTCGTCTTCTTTTGATCTCGTAGCCAATCCTAGAGTTCTTTTATCATCAAATCTTCATCATGAGCCTCCTCCCGGTGACCTCCGAATCTCTCAATTATCTCTCGAATGCATCTTGACTCGTCCCGATTGCTTCTCAAGCGCCGGTGCCGGACTCAAATTCCCTGATTTTGATTCGAAAAATACCAAACTCGAACCAACGCCCGGTAAACATCACTTGAGTTAAAATTGGGACTAGTGACTCCTTAAAATTACGAAAAACCATCAAAAGCCGATCTCAACACGCATCAAATGCATGTTGAAATGCAGATTTATCAAGTACCCTTTGGGAAATAAAATTAGAAAATACCTCTCTCACGGAAAAAAAACTTTTCAACATCTTGCCATTAATTATATCGTTAATCCCGGTGCAGGTGGATATGTTGGGCATCTAAAATTCATTACATTATTAGAGGATTATGTTAGTGATGTGGCAGATTATTTTTCGGATCATGATTGGGTGGGAGAAATTATTTGACAATATAATCCTAGATTAAGTTATGAATCTAGATTATCTCAAGATTATTTTTAAGTTAGTACTCCCTCCGTCCCCAAAAGGTTGGTCAAAGTTGACTTTCACGTGGATTAATAACGTAAAAACTGTATGGTTGAAATTTGTGCAGAGAAGACAGAATTTAGTTTTAGCCACATATTTCTTACTTTAAATGGAAATGACAAATCTTTTTGGGACATCCAAAAACGAAAATTTGGCCAACCTTTTCGGGACGGGGGGAGTATTAATTAGTGAGTACAAGACTACGAATCTACGAATCATAAAAAAGTTTGTTTATTTAATTACGGAGTAGCATGAATGTGGATACTGTGAAGGATATAATATTGTTATTAATTGCTATCTATCTAGTCTTGTAGGATTGTATATCGGGTTAAAGTATACTTTGGGGTTAAAGTATACTTTTCGTTTTCTTTTCGGTCCAGTATAAAATACTTCGTATGGAGGAAACTAGATCATGTATCTTAGGATGTTTTTACATGGACTGAATTTGTCCCAGACCAGAGCAGACCAGTTCAGACCAGACCAGACTTGGATAGTTATAAAAATACAAAGAAATCAGACCTTACCATACCAGACCAGACCAGACCAGACCAGCAAATTACAGTCCAAGTAAAAACATCCTTACTACAAAAATGATAAAGGTACCCCAATTTGTACCCCACCCTATTTTTGTGACTCACAAAAGCAACTCATTTAAGTTGAACAATTCATTAATTAAAGTGGGCTTTTGTGAGCCACACAAATAGGCTGGGATACAAATTAGGGTACAAAATGGGGTACCTATAGCAGGGTTGATCTTACTATTCCTTTTTTTGTTCTCTGTCCCATATATGATACTTTGTAGTACATTTCCCTAAATAGAATAATCAGACATTCCAACTTTAACTTCCATTTATAGTCCTCATAGCTCAATAACATTGATGACTTTTTTTTGGAAAAGGGCGGCTTATATTGATAACAGAACATTCAACAAGGAATAACAGAGAAAAAGAAACCACTCCCAACCATCAACCCTCGAACCAGCCGGAGAACCAATCACCCTAGACAGAGCAATATGATTCGCTGATCCTATAACGGGCCTACATGAGCCTATCATGGCCAAAACAGAATCCTCATCATCCCCACCTAATGTAAGAGTTCGAAAGCAAAAAACAACAGAAAAGGAAACAGCCATGTTCTTGGTAAACAACAACCAAATAAAATAAGTAAAAGCGTGTAATTTATGCCTGAACTTGATCACCACGAGCAAGATCCAGCATCCTTCCTTATAATTCCTCCCTGACGGCAGTCCAGGAGAGGGGACGCAATAACATCCCTTCGTCTTCTTTCGCCCGTAGGTGATTACCGCTAATGGTCCTGAATTTTTCCGATCCCGCATCTTTGTCAAAAACGATCTCTTCCTCCCTATCTTCTAGTGCCATGTCCTTAGCCTTTCCTGTGATAACCTCCATTCAACCTCTTCTAGTACCCTTCGTGCAACACAGAAGAGCATGAACCAAACCAAGGCTGAAAGTCCAAGCCTTCGAATTCCTGCAAAGCCTGGCAACGAAAACAGAAAGCAAAACGAGAAACAGAGAAACAGAAAAACTATCCTCCATGCCGAAGCCGAATAGCCGCACACCAAACCGAGAAGAATCTCAGAATTATAATCGGAATACCACCGACGCTCGCGGCGGCAGCACCCGAACCCTAATACCTAGGGAGTCGACAACCTTTGTTCAATAACATTGATGACTAAATTCATTTTTCTCTTCATCCAAAAATAAACTCCCTTTTCGAGTTTTGATTTGATAAAGAAAGCTCTCTCTTCATAATAGTCAAATTAATACTCAAATTACTTATAATACGTACTTGAGGTAAACTTGTTTACCAACAACACTAAGAAAATTGGTCTAAAAGTGTAATCAAACAAAAAAAAACAGTTGGACATATATATATATATTCCCTCTGTACCACAATCAGGGGCGGATCTAGTAAGCCTACAATAAGAAAAATGGATTGCCCCCTATAACTCAAGAACCTTCTCCTGTGATGCAAAAATAGTCTTGGAGTTGAGGCACTAAATTCCAAGCAAGCAAATAAGCAACTGGCCAAGACAGTACATGGTTGAGCAGCAAGACTCCAACTCTCTATGTTAAAATTAATAAATCAATTAAATGTTAGACTTCGAGTTTTGCCGTATTTGTTGCCTAGTTTAGTTGTTTAATTCTCTATGTATTGTTTACTTGCTTAAGGCCATACATCAATTAGGTAATGTTTAGAAGGATCAGTTAGATTTATTTAAATTGATGAGTTAGTGAAGTAGTTATACATCTATTAGTGTATTGCTTTAATTTACATTACTAGAAAATTAAATAGAAATTGTGATTGAATAAGTTTTTTGGGAAAAAAGATTTAATAAGTTAGAAATTCTAAATACAAATAATATGTTACTTTAGGTAATTAAATAAAGTGTATTGATGTATTCAAAAAAAGTTACTCCCTTTATCCCATAACATTCTTCTAACTTATTATTTGGGTATGCCCCAAAAAAATTCTTCCAAATTATCGTTTTAGAAAATTTTGTGTGGTTATCATTCATTTAGTTTTTCTTTACTCAACCAGAATCATATATTTCCACTTTATTCTCGCTTTCATAAACTCGGATTCAAGTCAAACAAGAAAAATTATGGGACAAAGCGAGTATTTAATTTCTCTTCTTCTCCATGCTCAATACTTAATATTGGACTATCAAAATTTTATTGTTTCGAATATTGCTTCTCAATGTTCTCAATGTTTTCCCAAAATAGTGAAGACTAATTAATTTGCGTAATGGAATTTGTTGGAGGTTTTGGTCCTACCAAGGCCTCCCTTCCACTTTAATATTGACTTGCACCCCATGTTTACTCGCACTTTGTTAGTCCTTCTGTTGAATCTCTCCTAACTATTTTGACTAATGTGGAGTGACCCCAATTTGAGCTGACCGCTACAGTCCTTTTGTCTTTGCATCACCCGTGAGTTCCCTTAGTGTAGCCAGCCTATTATTTAGAAGCCTTGTCTTCCTACTGTGAGAGTAGCCTGCGTGAGAATACGAGAGAGCAAATCTCTTCTTCTCCATTTCCTTTGTGTGAGAGTGAGAGAGAGGTACTTATTGGTTGGAGACAAAACATGGTGAGGTGTGAGCTATTGTGGAGGTTGGAGACCTGAGCCGGAGACGATCCTACCAGTGGTATCAGAGCCGCCGTCCGCCGCCGCCACCGATTGGAGCTCGCTGGAGTTCCCTGAGGCACTGCCTGAGGTCGTTCGTTGTTCTCTGCCCATCTTCGATTCTGGAGGTCACATACCAGAATCGTCGCTCGTCGCAGAGGAGTCGCCGTCGGAGGATCTGAATGCCGCTTGAGACTCGCCGATCGTGAAACCCTTCGCCGTTTCTGTTGTCCTTCGAGGTTTACTGTTCATATTGTTCCTGCCAAACCCCCAGATACGTTAACTAAACCCTCTCCTTTGTGGCAGATTGTTTTAATTGGTTAAATTGAATTGCATAGTGTTGTTTATTTCAATTATTGTGCTTGAGGGTGGTCTTTTGGGGTGCTAGGGTGATATGCACTAATTAGTAGTGCATAAGTGTATGTTTTTAAGTTTGATTTGTGTGTATTGTTTATCATTTTTATTTAGTTTGTAAACATTTATGTGATTTTAGTTGTAATTGTATTTTAATCTTCATTTGTAAGTTGGAAAGTAGAATTAGGAATTATGGTGTTGGAAAGGGAGACTTTGAAGTGAAGAAAAAGGAGATTTGACTGCCCAGGAGCAAAAACCCGACCGGGTATCAACCCTCAACCGGTCAGGTAGGAAGTGAAAACCGAACTAGCAAGGAAATTGCTAGGCCCGGTCGGTGATATGCACTAATTAGTAGTGCATAAATGTATCTTTTTATGTTTGATTTGTGTGGATTGTTTACCATTTTATTTAGTTTGTAAACATTTGTGTGATTTTAGTTGTAATTGTATTTTAGTTCTCATTTCTAAGTTGTAAAGTAGAGTTATGATTTATGGTGTTGGAAAGGAAGACTTTGAAGTGAAGAAAAATGATTATTGGCTGCACAGGTCAGTCACCCGGTCGGGTGAGGTATTGCACCCGGTCGGGTGAGGTATTGCACCCGGTCAGGTGAGAATTGAAATACGAAACTGCTCAGGAAATTACATCACCCGCTCGGGTGAGGTATTTCACCCGGTCGGGTCAGATGTGACCCGGGACATTTTAACGTGCTGAAACACAAGAACGTGGAAGATTATCTGATCTTGACATGCACCCGGTCGGGTGGGCACTTGACCCGGTCGGGTACCCGGCCCAAGGTGTTGATAAACACCTATAAATAGCACACTTTTCCTTCACAATTAATCATTCCTTCTTCCATATTCTTAAGCTCAGTTTAGAATAGTATTTCTTTTATATTTTTCTAGCATGTTTAGTCTCCAAATGAGGAGCTAAACTCTTCCATCTTGGTTTTGCCACTTTGAAGCTTAATGAATTTGTAAGTTGTGAGTTATTCTCTTTAATCTTCTTCCTTGAATATTAATTCTTCCTTTAAATACTATTTCTATATCAATGTTGGGGAGTGTTACTAAGATGACAATTAGTTAACATCTTGACATTAGTTATAGTAATAGTTATTTCTTCCTCTACATTAATATTGGGGAGTGTTACTAAGATGACAATTAGTTAACATCTTGATATTAACTATAGTAGGATTCATCTTCTTTAATATTCTTCCTTGAGTATTAGTTAATTCCTATTCATATTTCATATTAATAGTTTGAACATTACTTAAAGGATCAACTAGTTTTGTTTCATATATTAATTATTACTAGAATCGATCGACGAATACGCTTGTTAATCGTTCGATCGTTTCACGGTAGTAAACTTGGGTTATTAATGCATGCGTTTCATGGTTAATAAACCAAGGGGAAATAATTATGTTGATTAAACCAATAAACTGCTTGTGTTGAGGTTACCAATCTTAATCGTTTTCATCTTGATTTTATTGCTACTATCGGGTTAATATACGGCGCGTGTTCTATAATAACTCGGTAGTAAGTTTTATTAAGGAACACGTCTCGTTATTAATAACTACCCTCGATGAACTGGATATACTCCTCGATTGAGTATTCGAGAGGAAGATAGTTAAAGATATAACCGGGATCGACGAACACTTCATTAAGTGGAAAAAAGCAAAACCAAACCTTCATCTATTATTAATTAAACCACATAAGTCATTCAACTTGGTGTTTTAATACTCTTTAGTTCTTCAACAAACTAAACCCCCCCTTTGTTACAAGTTCTGTAAAAGAAAAGTATTCCTTTCCCTGTGGATACGAGCCTTACTTCGCTATACTACGTATTAGTGTCGTATTGATTATTATTTTGAGTGCATACACGACAAAGTGCACGTCAAATTTGGCGCCGTTTCCGGGGAAAGGCAATTAATTTTTCTTTTTATTTTTTATTTTTTAAAAAGAAAAAAAATATAGTACTTAAATATAAAGATTTCTATTCTTCTGAGCTTTGTTTGAGTATATGGTTAAACACCGATCTATAAACCAAATCACCTACCAAACAAACCCCAAAACAGAACAAGCCTTTGAGAGGTTTAGGAATTTATTTCCGAATACTTCTTCGGAGGAATCATCTAGCGCTACTTCTTATTCTAGCGAGAACGAAGAGTCAATCACTATGGCTCAAGAGACGAGAACATTGAGGGAGCTCACAGCTCCTAATCTCAACCTATAACCGCTATGCATCACCTTTCCAACTCTCGATGCGGGTGCTACATTTGAGCTTAAATCGGGGCTCATTCATCTACTTCCATCTTTCCACGAGCTAAGAGGAGAGGACCCAAACAAACATCTCTCGGAATTCCATATTGTTTGCACGAGCATGTGGCCAAATGGAGTCACCGAGGAGCAAATCAAGTTAAGGGCTTTTCCATTCTCCCTCAAAGACACCGCAAAGGATTGGCTATTCTATCTTCCTTCGGGAAGTATAGACACATGGGCGGCAATGAAAAAGTGCTTCCTGGAAAGGTACTATCCCACCTTCGTCTCATCATCTTTGAAAAAACAAATAAGCAACATTGATCAAAAAGATGATGAGTCATTATATGAATATTGGGAAAGATTTAAAAAGTTATGTGCTAGCTGCCCGTCTCCGTCTCACCATGGGTACACGGAGCAAGACCTCATCCTTTACTTCTATGATGGTCTTGCGGATCAAGATAGACGCATGGTGAATGCGGCATGTGGAGGGGATTGTCAACAAAACCCCTTCTCAAGCGAGGAATCTCATCTCGGAGTTAGCTGAGAATTCTAGATATTACAATGGGCGGTCCTCAACCCGAAGGGTTGCCGTGGTAGAGTCCAACCCATCGTTGGAGAGTCAAGTAGCCAACTTGACTTCTTTGGTAAAAGATTTTCTTTTGAATCCCAAAACCCAAGAAGTCAAGGTCTGTGGCATTTGTGCAACACAAGGGCATCCTACCGATTCATGCCCTATATTACAAGAAGAACAAGTCCACGCCTTCGGTTTCCAAGGCCAACAACAAAAAAGGTAAGATCCGCACTCTAACACTTACAACCCCGGCTGGAGAGATCATCCGAATTTGAGATATGGGAACCCTCAACCACAACAAAATCTGCCCTTTCAACAATCTTTCCGAAATCATCAAGGCCAAACTTCAAGCTCAAATATGTCCACCGAAGACATGATTCGAGCATTTGCCGCAAATATGTCAACGTTGCAACAAAGTGTGGCCCAATTTCAAGAAACGACAAAATCTAGCATCCAAAATTTGGAAAACCAAATGAGCCAAGTCTCAAGTGCGGTGAGTAGGCTCGAGGCCAAAGACTCGGGAAAACTCCCTTCTCAAACGGAGCAAAACCCGAGACAACATGTCAATGTGATCATGTTGAGGAGCGGTTAGGAGTTGCAAACAAAGGAGGCTGAAGAAGAAAAAGTTGACAATAACGAGTTTGACCACAACGAGGGGGAACCAACGAAGACTAGATGCCCTCCACTTTCATCATATGAACCACTCCCTTCATTCCCTGAGACGCTGAAGCACACAAGGAAGCTAGAGAATGATCGGGACCTCTACGAGACCTTCGCCAATTGTGAGGTAAATATCCCACTCTTCAAACTAATCAAAAGTGTTCCCCGTTATGCAAAGTTTTTAAAAGAACCATGCACAATGAAAAGAA